TTCTTTGTGACCCGCTGGTCAAGTTTCTGATCCGTATAGAAGAACTGACTTGACGTTTGTATTGAAAATCCTACCGAATTTTGTTGTTGATGCTGGCTGAGTGACGAAGATTTCCAGATTGGTTTCAGGTTGATGATGAATGTGTTTCTCGCCTTCCCGATTCTCGCTCGATTTGACATCCTCGTCCGTTCCGACTCCTGTAGTTGAGACAATGCTCCCTAGATAAGTGAATGAAGTAACCTCTTTCAAATCCCTCCCGTTGATGGTGATTGACGCTGGATGTTGCTGCTGTTGTTGTTGGTTGGTTATTTTCATAACCTCCGTCTTGTCTATGTTCACTTGGAGTCCTGTCTTCGCCAGCTGCTTCTTCGACCAGTTTGTCGGTTTTCGCTTGTAAGTCTTCGATTGTGTGTGACATCAAACATAAATCATCCACGCGCGAAATCCAGGTCTTCTAGGTTCTTCACGTCGGTCCAGGATATTCCTGTCTTCTCGTTTCCCACTGTCTGACGCATAATCCAGTCAGTCCACCACAATTAGGAATATCATTGGTGATAGATAATAAGCACCCTTGTCTGACTCCTGTGTTTACTCCAAACGCCTCGCTGAGTTTTCCGTTGTGGATCACTTGACATGTGCCGTTGTCGTACAGCTGTTGAATAAGGTTGATGAATATTTGGGGTACGCCGTAGTACTCGAGTAATTTCCAAATTACTTCACGATCAACGCTGTCGAAGGCCTTCTCAAAGTCTATAAAGTTGAGGTAGAGGTTTGATTGCCATTCCATGCTTTGTTCTGTGATGATGATGCGTAGAGTTGCAATTTGGTCAGTACATGATTTGCCTTTCCTGAATCCAGCTTGTTCTGGTCGGAGTTCTGTCTCCAGTGCGTCCTTTAATCTCTCCAGGATGATGCGACTCAGGATTTTACTTGGCGTCGACAGGAGCATGATTCCTCGCCAGTTCTTGCAGAGTGAGGCGTAAGTCGCCCTTCTTTGGTAGTTTCACGAGGTAACCTTTCCTCCAGTCAGTAGGCACCTTTCCCTCCTTCCAGACCTTTTGCAATAATGGAGTCAGCATGTCTGCTGTAGTCTCTGGGTCGCTTTCAGTGCTTCAGGGGGTATTCCATCTGGTCCGGCTGCTTTTCCAGCTTTCAGAAGCTTGATTGCATTCAAGACTTCAGCTCTCGTTGGAGGATTGGTGTCAACTTGCAGTTGTGTGCGCGCTGTTGTTGGTATTTCTGGACGGGTTGCAGGTGATGGTCGGTTCAAGAGTCCTTTGAAGTGATCCGCCCATTGTTTAATCTGTTTTTCTTCCTTGGTAATTGGGTTCCCTTGGCTGTCTTTTATAGGTTTCGCTTGTGTTGGTCTCTTCCCGGATAGAGATTTGGTTATCTGATATAGTGTCCTCAGGTCCCTTTTGCCTGCTGCCTTCTCAGCTTCAGTGGCAGATTGTCGTAGAATCGTCTTTTGTCCTTCCTAGCACTTTTCTTCACTTCTTTGTCCAGTGCTTTGTAAGTTGAGCTCATCGTCTCCTTCTCCTGTCCGTCCTTGCATTGAATCATTTTCTCTTTCACCATTCTCCTCTCTTCTATTAATTTCCAAGTGTCCGTTGAGAGCCATTCCTTGTCTTGTCTCTTCTTTCTTCCTAGAACCGTTGAACACGTTTCGTTGAGAATCGCCTTCAGAGACTTCCAATGTTCTTCCACGCATGATTCTTCAGTGATGTCGCGTAGTGTTTCCTGCTTTGCTCTGACAGTTGCAGTGAAAGTGTCTTTTGTGGTTGTGTCCTTCAGTAATTGAGTGTTGAACTTGCATTGTGGCCTATCCCCAGCTATCCTCGAGGCTTTTAGTTTCACCTTGAAAGTCCCTTGTACTAGATAGTGGTCTGAACCCACATCTGCTCCTCTCCTCGACCTTGTGTCCAGTAGGCTCCGTCTCCACTTTCTTGAAATTGAGATGAAGTCTATTTGGTTCTTGGTGTTTCCATCTGGTGAAATCCATGTCGTCTTGTGTATATCCTTGTGTTTGAACACACTGCCACCAATCACCAAATCATTGAAGGCGCAGAAGTCTGAGAAGAGTTCACCATTGTCGTTCATTTCGCCGAGGGCCTCACGACCCATGGTGAGTTCTCTTCCTGTGTTGTCTCCTCCCAGCTTCGCATTCATGTCGCCCATCAGGATTTTGATATCGCCATTTGGGACGTTGTCCATTATTGCTTGTAGTTGTCTGTAGAACGCCTCCTTCTTCTCTTGTTCTGAGACGTTTGTAGGCGCATAGCATTGAATGACTGTAACTTTCCTTCCTTTTGAGTTGAACCTGGCTGTCATTATCCTGGAGGAGATTGGTTCCCACTGCATGAGAGCTTTGGCTGCTGTTGGTGACATCATGATGGCCACTCCCTCGGTGTGCTCGTGGTTGTCCTCTGGGTGGCCGGAATAGATTACTGTCTCTCCAGTAGGTAGTTGGCACCTTCCAGTTCCGTTCCATCTGCTTTCGCAGATTCCCAACACTTCTATTCTGTACCTTCTCATTTCAGCGGCTATCTGGGCAGCCTTTCCAGTTTCGTACATTGTACGAACATTCCAGGTACCCATCCTTACTTTTGCTTTCATCGAAAGAAGGCACATCGGCTGACTGGCTTCCCGAAGGCTTTCACCAGCCTGCGTCATTTCACTTTCCCGATTCCAGCGAAAAGTAAGGCTATTGCTTATGTTTTTAGAATTTTTAATATATTTATTCGTTGAAGTTTCTGTAGCGATTTGGTTGTTTTACAGGGGTGGAGTTGCTAGCACCACGCCCCAACCCTCCTCCTTTCCCGGGCTTGGGACCGGCTAGAAAACTAGCAAGCTAGTAATATGGCAAGGTTAATCATGTAAGCCGTATGCCTATAAATTCACGGAATTATGTAACACTAGAAATTGGACAAAACTCTTTTTTTGTGTTCTTTCTGAATAATATACTTGTGTATAAATCTCAGACGGATGATGGCTTGCGCTAAAATCCAAGATATGCATTTCTACCTATTTCAGACTAATTAGTTGCATGCGACTATTTCTCAGTGAATCATTTTGTTAACACTGAAATTAAAACCGAACACACGGCACAGCGGCTAGGACTCTCGCCGACCATGCACATGGTCCGGAGTTCGATCCTCTGCCGACGCACACCTGATATCTATGGTTGGCCTGCAAAATTTGGGCTACCGATATCCATGCTGAAAATTCCATACTTGTACCAAAAATACTGTGTGGAATCAAGCTGTAATAAAATAGACTTCTCTTTCTGTCTGTTGGTCAATAGAGTATCAGTTTTTGTGATGTTAGTAATCACTAATAGAAAAGTATATATATAAAGATTCCGTAGAATTCCATTTGGAACATGGTGCTTCAAGCTTCAGATCTGAAGTTTCCCTAGCAGTGACGTTGTCTTTACGGCGTCGGGTGCTGGTCCAACGATCAGTCTCCTTACTTTATCGGGCTTACTACCGTCTTAGAAAGAGAGAGAGAGAGAAAGAGAACTGTTTCCAAATGACATAATGGAAATGTGCAACGCAAATGTGTGTTTTTGGCGTTGGCTTGTTAAGAATGAGATGGATAGTTTAATTACAAAGCTCTGATTGTCCACCTGGACAACATTTTCCCTGCTAAATTCAGTACAACCTGTCTACAGAGAAGTTAGTGAAATCTTTTTTAATCTTTTAATTCAAATATATAATCAGCATAACCACAAGTAATATAGAAATGAGATTAATTAAAGAACTGCCAATAAGTGTCTTGTTCTGATTTGTAACTCACTAATTCCCCTCTCCCCCTACATTGCGAAATTATCTGAGACCAAAGCTAAAAATGACCATGAAATTGAGCAGTAAACATATTACCATTTTACTACTAACAGTGTTACAATCCAAAATCCAGGTTTTTTTTTGAGAATTCGGTCGATAAGCAAGATATCAAGACGAGTGTTGTTCAGCTGTATTGAGAAGTAACTGTCCTCCCAATAAGACTGATTTATCTTCATATAATTCATATTAAATCTCAGTTTTCATTAGTGTCATTTTCAAATAAAAGAAATTTAGTTTATGGATTTTTCGGGCGTTTGGGTTGATTTTAGGTGTGATTCGGTCAGGCATCAATGTGGTGGGAGAGTCACTAATGACGATAGAGCACTGGACAACCGTCTCGTCCTGACTAGAGACTCATCAGAGGTGCTCACCTATAAAACCACTAAGGACTGGAGTCAGGACTTTTGGGTTACGGAGCTAATCATCTTGACCATTCAGCCGACGTCTTGAAATATGATAATCTGTGAATTCTGACTTGATCAAGAAAGAAAACCAATTATTTTTTAAGTCAATTGCTTGATTATGACTAGCAGTGGAATCCAGGATGTGCATTTCGTCCTATCTGGAAACCGTCAGCTAGTGGATGTAACTGCATTCCCCAACAAGTGGTAGTGTTCCCCCGGGGCTCGAATCTAGCGCCTATAGTCCCAAACACCAAAGCGTTATCTAACTTTCAGCCTGAAACCGAGCATTTTGGTCTAATCAGTCGACGGGAAAATCTAAACTGAATTCAATAATTAATATGACCCGTTGCACAAGAGGTGGTTCTCATTGCTCAAGTGGTCTGGTGGATAAAGCTTTGGTGTCTGGGACTATGGTCACTGGATTCGAGCCTCGGTGGAAACACCGTCACTCGCTGAGGAGTGTAGGTGCATTCAGATGAAGAGTCTCAGATGAGACGAAGTGCGCATCCTGGATTCCACTGCTAGTCACCATCAACCAACTGACTTCAAGTTACATGACCAGACATCGTCAAAGTATCTGCACAAAGACCTAACATGTCAAGCTGAGACCGGGTATTTCGGTCCAATCAATTGACGGGATAATCTAAACTGAATCCAGTCATTTTTTCCTACCAGTAATCTTACTCATTTTTCTTAACTTGAAAATGTTTAACTTATTCTGTTTGTTTGTGTTTTTTTTTCTTACTGCTAGGTTTTTTATCAACCGGTGATTATGCATCTATAGGAAATTATGGTCTATGGGATCAGTTGCTTGCTATCACATGGGTTAAAGAGAATATTGCATGGTTTCATGGTGACCCAGAAAAGATAACTATAATGGGTGAAAGTGCTGGTGCAGCTAGTGTTGGTCTACACTTAATATCACCGTTAACACGTGAAAGATGTAAGTCGTACTCGCTTTTTTCTACTATAATTATTTTTCTGAATAATAGTAGAACACAGATCTTCTCGTGTTGTGATACTTCTTCCCTCCTTTCATATTGTGTTTCTTTGTGTTCCTTTCCCGTCTCCCATGCACGTCAGCAACGGTGTATCATTTGCTTTCTCTGACATCAAATCTATCTCCCTGCTACCTATTTTTTTATTTTTGATTACAGCTTGATTCCACACCGTATTTTTGGTACAAGTATGGAATTTTCAGCATGGATATCGGTAGTCCAAATTTTGCAGGCCGACCATAGATATCAGGTGTGCGTCGGCAGAGGATCGAACTCCGGACCATGTGCATGGTCGGCGAGAGTCCTAACCACTGTGCTACCGACTTGATGTCCTATGTCGATAAACATCTCTTTATAAATATACTACTGGTACATTTTATCAGTAGCACAAGCCACATTTTTATCCTGTAATTCATTTGGTTGAATCGACACACACCATTCACCCAAGTGCTATTAGATATCCTTTTCTTAAATTAATTTCATCTAGGAAGTTACAGAGGATATGGTGGTAACATGACAGTGAATGACTATAGGACGAAGTTGACTGGAATTCTAGTGAGAAGTGGTGACCAGTGGGGTCCACTATGTTGGGTGTGAGAACGAATACTCACCAATGACATTAGCTGGTAGTCGCACTAAGATCAGGAACTAGCAGAAGTTGGAATTCATGGTGTAGTCATTTGATCGGGACTTACCGTCTGAATTGTCTACAAGCTTGCCTTGTAACTTCAAGTCCCTAGGCCCGAACTATGGTGAATGCGTACTGATGAATAGTTAGATTCAAACTAGGCTGAAGCAGCTGTCCAGTACGTTTTGGTATTCTAACGGTTCTCTAACTGACTTCAGCTTGTGATCAAACTTGGAGTTGTTATGAGTAGTTTGAAACCGAACATATCAAGTAGTAGTGCTTGTAAACCAGATAGACGTGATGCCAGTATTGTGCTGATTTTGATGCACATAATATGGTCATGAACTTCAAGTGGTGTGTAAACTGGTGGGATTGTAAAGGTAACTAGATCCTTTGATATCTGGTTTGCTGGTTGTTTCGATATTTTCTACACTCAGAAAATTCCTGCATATTTGTGCGATGGAATACACTGCCAGAAGTATTATTATATTTACGAAGTTATATTCCATCTATATACTACTACTGATTGACTGAAATGAGTAGTTTCATGTCACTCATAACAGAGAGTAGTGCTTGACAGACAGATCGAGGTGATATAAGTCGTAAATTTGATTTACGGTATGACCAGTTCGACTAAGTAGCTAGTCTGAAGTCGGGTGGCTTAAAGTGATTCGCTTCCCTGAGTTGAGTCAGACCGAGCACACTGAACACACCGTGAGCTCGGCCACAAACGAGTGGAACGGCAGGTCGGTGGTGTTTAGATCACTTCAATCTGACTAGCAAACACACTACTGATTGATATGAGTAGTATGTAACTACTCATCCCAATCAATCAGTAGTGTATAGTTTTATGCAAATATGCTTACTTTTTTGATAACCATTTATCTCATCAAGCAGATCACAGACTGTGATCTGAATAATTTGGTTTCCAAGGGAAACTACCATGGTGGAATTTCACCACTCGAATTGTATTGGTTGTAAATTGCAAACCACTTCACAGATTTTGAATTTGATTTGCGTTTGATCATACATCTCCGTTTTCCATGGTTCGTGTAAGGGATTTCATGAGGACTTGTCATTAGTGGTAGTTCACCCGGTTCTGTGATTCACCTTCTCAGTGTGGTCATCAAGTTAGTTTTGAACTGCAGTCCCACAGGAGATTAATCATGTTCACATATCCCTCAGTGGTATTGTCTTTGACTACAGCCTCTGATGCAGATTCTAATCTGAGAAGAGGCATTAGTTATTTGCCTTCATTGATGTGACTTGTTAATCAATAGCAATTAATAAACAATCTTGGTCGAAGGCTTCCAAGGAGGAGGTTTCTTCCTCCATGTAAATGTTATAAGCTCCCTCTGTCAGCAATAACGACTAGACTGTTGCATGTCAAGTGATTTTATTTGACATAACATGGTGAGTGATGTGGTATAGATAACTGATTAACTCTCTAAGCATAATTTATTGATCACAATCATATCAATGTATACATGGAACTTCACAACTTGCTCTGTATAATACCTTCAACCCCTTCTTCTTTTAAATGCGATTTTCCACATATCTGATAAAAGCGCTGCACTACTTCGGTTGTGAATATTTGGTTTTGATTCAAAGAATCAGGATTCGGTGATTAACATCACCACTATCTCTATTTCTTTCCCCACCTAACTAAATTGCTTTCACCCTATTGAGTGATAACAAGAAAGTCAAACATTGCTATTAGAGAGTTTTTCCAGATTACATGAGTTATCAGGGTAAATCATTCTAGATGTAACTATATACCGATAATCCAGTTGACCACGATCCTCTAATTTTACCTATGTAATTGATCACATTGTCACTGCATGTTATTTGGTAAATTATATTGTTTTCCCTAATTGGATCTATTGAATCCTTAAGCTGACAAGATTTGTCTCTGGGTGAAATGGTTACTTTAAATGATACCCTGGTTCCAACCTTATTATGAATCATACAAAGGGGCCTCTGATATTCCTTATTTATATGACAATAGTATGAAGCCCTTGAATTCTTTATTATTCAGGCTATTTTCATTATTCTGATGAAGTCTCACAGTGTTATACAGTAATGTTTACTGATGACGTTTCGAGCACAATTTATTGCTCATATCATATCAAGGTTATGAACAATAAATTGTGCTCGAAACGTCATCAGTAAACATTACTGTATAACACTGTGAGACTTTATCAAAACACTCTACCACGGTGCACAAGTTTTATTCTTATATTTTCATTATTTACAATATTAGACTTTTTCTTCTCATGGGTCTTCATATACATTTTTGAATAAAATCTGGTGGACAGTTATTCACTATTAATGATTTTTCTAATTTGTTATAAAATCGTTTGAATACATTATTGTGACTAAGAGCAATACATTGTGCTTGAAACGTCATCCAGTCATTATTACTCTATCAGTCACTGTGTATATAAGTGTGTGTTTTATCTAACATAGAATTAAACTCTACAACACAATGACCGATTCCACCCTTACGGTAGTGCTTTTATACTGATTGAAATCTTTCCTGGTTTCATGGATATTTAAATACACTACCTTCAGACAAAAACACATGAACTAATTGTTTCCCATAAAAAAGGTGAAAGTAGACATTCTGTTTTTGTCACCTTAAAGATAATCAGTGTGGACTAACCTGTATTAAATGTTGCTTCATTAAGCATTTCCACGCCAATTTATCACAAAGTCGCTCATGGAATATAATTTCAAAAAGAATGACACTTCAGGAAACACTCTCTCTTTGATATTAAAAGTTATTCCTACTTTACTTTTGTGGTTTAGTGGTAGAACACTTACCAGCCACATACATGGTCAGGGTTCGATACCCGGCCGACACATTACACCTTAAACCTTACTTAGCTGGTAGCAAACCCACCAAAGGGAGAAGGTTGGGCTTAAAGACTGACGACTATACATCATCAAAGTTAAACAATACTACTGCTATTGAAACTTCAAAAAATCTCAACCTTGAAGCCTTGTGTTCTGAATGTCGGAAGTCAAAGGAATGTAAAACATACTTACTACCATGTTATTCTCACTTAGTGTAACTAGGACAAACAGTTCAGAGAAGAGTCTCTTTTCAGTGAATTCATTCACTTAGCTGTATAGTCACAATTATATATAATTATTTTTGTATGTCTGCGTGTGGGTGTGAATAGCATACCGTTCTTAAGAGGTTTCTTTTCAATTTATAGGTGACTTTTAATGAATTCTTGGAGCATATTGAGTGACCAGTGTAGAATATATGTTCAACTATAGCATCCCCTATTAATCCACGGTTAACTTTCTGTAACTAAGTGAGATAATGTTCTTTGACACTTTTAGATATGAAACATGCATCAAATGGTCTATATATCTCGCTCCGTAGAAGCAAGTGAATTGGTAGATGCACACTGAAGTGGTCAAACGCGACAGTCTATCTTCAGAGTCACTGGAGAACACTAGGTGGCATAAGGATACCAGTCGTGATGTAAAAGCGGAAAATATCCTTTACAGAAAATTTGACATTCTTTTCTTTAGAACATTGACCAGAAGGTAGCCTATGAAAGTTAACTTCATGTATAGGATCTTCTTCGGCACAGGGATTCGATTTTCTTTGTTGGTTTTGGGTTTTATGTGTTTGTCTGTGAGGCGTGGAAGGTAACCATCTTCGGACAGTGTCTTCCTCAAAATAGAAGCCTCTTGATCCCCTGACCTAAGGCTGTTGGTTCTTCGTCTTCTATTAGGAATAGACATCAGTAGGTTTCTCTTGCGATTTATGGTTATCCAACTATAAAAGTTTATCGACTAACCGTTCTACATAGGTTTCCTGCATACTGATCTACTCAGTGTCAAATCAGGCTGATTTGCTAGTCGAATGTTTTGTGCTACGCATACACATATATGAAAATAATTATAAATAACTGGGATTGTACAGCTAGCTAACTGAATTCACCGAAAATAGACTTTTCGCTGAACTTTTTGTTATTATAGTCATGTCTGGATGGGCGCTTTTCGTGAATTAATGAAATTAAGCACTTTAATAATAATTATACAGGCTATATTTTTCCAATTAGAAAAAGATGCTATAAAAATGATTACTGCCAATGCCTATAAAGTCTAATTTCATAATGGTTTATCTATTCAGTGTAAATCATACAGTGAAATAGTGTATCATGTTGAATGATTATATATGAATAAAATTACACTCCTAAATGTTAATCCAGTAAATCTTATCATTGTTTGATTTATATAATAAACAAATTTATATCGGATTACGTAATAGTACACTGTCTAAGTTTTATGCAT